GCTGACTACGCCATAGATTAGGGGAAATCCGGGAGACTTGCCCAGGTGGGAGACTTGCCCCTCCGTGATATATTTACTTTAAAATTGCGCACCATAATCTGAAACGAGAGAAAACGGGACGCCCTCTAGTGCTTCTAGGCGACCACGAAATCCTAGTTGACTTTTCTCAGTTTGTTTTGTATCTGACCCGAGGCATGTGGCTTTTGCGTTTAAACCAAAAATTAATACTTTTACAAATTTCATGATTTTTGAGAAATTGAACCTAACCTGAAAAAGAAAGGTGTGGGAGACTGGCCCATACCTCAGGAGGGAGACTTGCCCAGAGGGACAACTCTCCCTTTCTGATGGAATTCTAAATTGGTATTTGTTTTTAATTAATTTTAGTAAAATTTGATGCATTTTCTTATTACAGGTCTGTACAATGCCATTCAAGTACAAAACAAAAGACGGTTCCACTCGCAAAAACTTGATAAGGCTGTTCTTAAAAATGCACTAGATGAACTAGGAATTCTTCGAAAAACTTCTGCAAAATATGATATTGATCGGAGTACTTTGAGACGCTACAAAAACAATGAAAATAAACTTGAAAAAATAGAAGCTAAAGGCCAGTATAATACTTCACAAATATTCACCATACAAGAAGAGAAGCTTCTGGTTGAATATTTTTTAAATTGCAGCAAAATGCACTATGGACTTACTCGAAAACAAGGAATGAAATTAGCTTTTGAGTTTGCAGTTTCGAATTCCAAAAAATTCCAGAAAGTTGGTCAAAAAATAGTATGGCAAGGAAGGATTGGTTTCGCGGTTTTTTATCAAGAAATCCCGAAATTGTTTAAGAACTCCGGAGGCAACAAGCTTGTCACGATCTACAAGCTTCAGTCGGAAGGATGTACACGATTTTTTTCAAAACTTAAGGATTGTACGAGAAAAATTTAAGTTTGAACCACAAAATATTTATGACTGTGATGAAGTAGGATTTACTACAGTTCAGGATTGTCCTAAAGTATTGGCCAGTAAAAAAGCTAAGCAGGTTGGTCAAGTTACTTTATCAGAGAAGGGCACTTTGGTGACAGTTTGTTTTGCAGTCAATGCAGTTGGAAGCGTTATTCCACCCTTTTTTATATTCCCTCGTATCAAATATCGATAAGACTTAGTTTCTCATGGCCCAGAAGGTTCATACTTTTTTAAAATTATTTTTATTTGTTTTTTGCATTATACTTATGTTTATTCTGATTTTAAAGATTTAGATTTAGTTTCGTACTTGAATAAGTAAAGTTTTTTGTTTTATTTTTTGAGTTTTTCGAATACAAAAGTAATTATTTACATTTGTTTTTATTTAACTCTCCTTCTGACTATGGGCAAGTCTCCCGCATATGTGGGAGAGTTGCCCATGTTTCCAAACAAATAAAAAAACTATATATTTTTTTCTGACTTATTTTTTTGAGGTTTAAATGATAAAACAAGGTTCCTAAAAATACATGCTACGAAGGCATCTAAAATTTATTGATTTATATAAATAGGAACAAATTTTATCACCAATAATGAATTGGGAGGGGCAAGTCTCCCGGACTTCCCCTACGTAGCTCGTGGCAGCCAGATCCAACTGAATCTAAGCAATGTTTGCTATAGTTCTGTTGTGATGCGAACGCCCTATTAACGCAGACAGATTTCACTTGAGACTAGGTCTCGGATGGACACTGCCTAAAGTAACCTTGTGAGTTTATGAAAATGAATGTATTTTTAATTACAGGTACAAAGGGACAAAGCCGTATGCGTCGGTGACGGTGTATTGGCAATATGTTATATCTTTTTATTCATACGTGGTTCGAAAACCACACAATTTCTTGTAAACGATACCTAATTTGGAGTTTATACAGGTAATTTGAGCTGTCAATTCGAGTATGAAAGTTACTCAAGTTAGAAACCTAAACAGATGAGTTTTGCGTTGCCGTCAACTTCTTTCTTGGAAATAAATTATAGCAAGTCATGTACTACAACAAACAGGTAGGTATGTGTTCAAATAATATGGAAGGCCCAGTTAACAACGAGTAAAAAATGGTATCATCATCATACTGATCATTGACCACACTATTAAATAGAGGTGTCAGTAAATGTAAACCAATAAATAACTAATTTCAAAAGATCCTAATCCACATGCGTTTTTCTGATTTTTTATTATACTGTTAATGTGATTCTATTTTGTATTAATAATTAATGGTGACGGTAGGTTTCATTGCATTAATCAGTTTATTCTTTTCTTTTGCCCTTTATAAAATATATGCCTATGAGAAGTCCTGCACGGGTATCACGTATCTTGTGACATTATGCCGATTTTTTTTGACATTATGCTGTTTTTTTTGACATTATGTAGGTTTTTCTACAGGATGTTATCTTAGCACTTAGTTGTACGTGTTGCCTAACCGTCATGAGGCTTGTTATCAATCTTCGGCTCTGGTGTGATGTAAAATCTGCTTCTGAGATGGCATTACTTTATGTCTAAGCTGTAAGTTGTATGTGTTGATGATAATTACATTGGGTTCTTGTCTCAAATACACTTAATTGAGATTCAAAGCTAGACATTTTTTGCGCATCCACTTTTTCTTATCCATTAAGTAATTCTGCTCAGTTTACCGTAATTTATAACTTTGAACATAACCTCTCTTCAGAAAGTACAACATAAAAATAACCCGTCGGGCACAGCCAACAGATATACTTCAGTGGCAGCATATTCAGTAATGACTTTCTCACACAGCAAATATCACTGATTTTATACACATTCAGACCAATACACATAAATCATCCAGATGCGATCTTGCTATTCAACCAACTTTCTTCTCAGAGATAAAAACTACAGACAAGGACCATTTGGCCTCACAAAACTTATGCAACCAATAATGCGTGTAGTTTAGTTGAGTGATTGTTCCTTAGATGGACGTTCACAACGATACTAGTGAGCAAACGTGGAATGACCGTTTGCGCCCTAAAAACCACCTAGTTTGCAAGATGACATCTTATAGGTTTTTTTGACGTTTCATAGGCTTTTTACATGAAATCCGTGGTCGTTAATTAGCCTTTATTGCTGAAAAGTAGCTTCTGTATATAGGTATCTTTTTTTGCAGAATCATTCTTAAAGCCGAGCTTTGTGATTTTGAGTAGGCTTTTACTACTTAGTTGCTTATGGTATCTTTTTTAGCAGAATCATTTTTAAAGCCGAGCTTTGTGATTTTGAGTAGGCTTTTACTACTTAGTTGCTTATTGTGATCATAGCCCTTTGAAGTAATCATAGTTTTTGTTTATAGAGCTGGGTTAACCAGTTGCTTTGGTGCCTCGATTTGTGTGATACCGACTCGTCTGATTCGTTCACTATTTTGTGATACCGGATTTTAAAATATACCGTCTTGATCATATCGTAGACTTTTCTTAAGTATTACTTAGGCGCCATACCCCGCAAAACCGAATACAACTCTGATCCGTGATATTATGACAGTTTTCCTATTATCATATTAGTCTTGGCAATTGAAGTTTTGAATTCCATATACGAGGGTGGTCCCAGAAGTACCCGGCCTGACCTAGAGATGGCGATAGTTGTTTGAAAAATATCATAGTATTAGAAAGTAAGCAACCTATAAAGCATATGTGTCAAGTTTGAAGACGCCACATTGTTTAGTATTTGTTTGGCAGCCATAAATTCTTAACGTTTTCAGTGAATTTGTGAAAATGGAGAAAATTGGTCATCGTTATGTGGTACAATACTTTTATTTCAAAGGCACAATTAGTATATAAGCTGAATTAGATTATAATCTGGGTGAGTCTGCTCCTTCGTTTACAACAGTAAAATATTGGGTAGCAGAGTTTAAACGAAGCCGTATGAGCTGCCAAGACGAGCATCGCAGTGGTCGACCAAATGAGGTGACGACTCCAGAAATGGTGAAGAAAATTCACAAAGCGGTACTGAATGATCGTCGACTGAAAGTGCGCGAACTAGCAGATATGGTAGGCACTTCAAAAAGTGCGGTTCGTCGCATATTATCTGAAAATTTGAACATGAGAAAGCTGTGTGCAAGATGGGTGCCGCGATTGCTCACAATCAAGCAAAAACAGTGTCGTGAAGATGTTTCAATCGAGTGTTTAGCGAAGTTTCACAGCAACAAAGCAGAATCTTTGCGTCGTTTCATAACCATGGATTAAACATGGGTCCATCACTTCACACCCAAGACAAAAGAACAATCAAAACAATAGACTCAAAAGGGACAACCGGCTCCAAAGAAGGCGAAGACCGTTTCATCTGCAGGCAAGGTTATGGCGTCGGTTTTTTGGGATGCGCGTGGGATAATTTTCATTGACTATCTTGAAAAAGGTAAAACTATCAACGGCGAGTATTATGCGAACTTATTGCAACGTTTGAGCGATGAAATCAAGCAAAAACTGCCGCATTTGGTCAAGAAGAAAGTGTAGTTTCATCAAGACAAGGCACCAGCTCACAAATCCGTTATTGTAATGGCCAAAATTAACGAATTAAAGTTTGAATTGCTACCTCATGCACCCTATTCACCAGATTTAGCCCCCTCGGATTATTTTCTGTTTCCAAACGTGAAAAAATGGCTCAGTGGTCAAAGATTTTCCAACGACGAAGAAGTGATGTCGGCAGTTAATGGCTATTTTGAGGAGCAAGGCAGTTCTTATTATAAAAAGGGTATCGAACTTATTGAACATCGCTAGGAAAGGTGTGTAGAGATCAAAGGAGATTATGTTGAAAAATGACATTTTTTTACAAAGTTTTTGTGTTTTCTTCGTTGGGTCGGGTACACCCTCGTAGATTTGTAAAAGAGTAATCTGTTTTTATCCCATTTGGCTTCAAATAGGGCAGTCATACAATAGGTAGCTGCTTGAGATAATTTCATACATGTGGTTCTTCCGTTTCCGTTTCTGATAAAATACCGATATCTGGTATTCGAGAGCTTACAATGTCTATTTAATAGTTAAACTTACCCAATAGGTATGTTTGACGGCCCATCTTTCCACTTGGCACCTCTTTGTGGAAGCCCCGTAGCATACCCGCGTGCACAACGAGACAAGGAACAAACAACTCACATTCTGGTAAGCTATAACTGTGCCACCCTAAACAACTCTTCCGGAGAAGACAGTCCATATCCATCGTAGGGGTTCGACGTTGTTTGCATCAACGCCATGGGATTGGAGAACGCCGCCAGGTCGTAACAGCTCGACGAGAGTACCCATGGGTGCACGTGGGGCACTATGTGTGTCGCATGTGTCGCACTTGGTTGCACTGGGGTCGGTTTGTCCGGCGAGATGAGGCTCTCTATCGTAAACGACCTCTTGGGTCTGATACAAGTCACTGGGGAAGTAGTTTCCGGAGAAGTCTTTGGAGGTAACGTCGGAGATGTTTGAGTCGGTGCTACAGCAGCTGGGTTCACGTCCATCGGAGGATTTGGAGGCGAGAAGAAGATCCTGTTGATGTTCGTCAGAGCAGCGAGTTCGTTCTCCAGCATTTCCTTGTCGCTTTTGAGGAGTTTGAAGCGCTTCCTCCTGCGAAGTAAGCTACCGTTCACAAACATGTCAAACGCGGCGGGGTGTAACGCCCAATATGCTCCTTTCCCGGGTCTATCAGGCTGCCTAGGGATCTTGATGAAACAGTCGTTGAACGACAGGTTATGCCTCAAAGAATTCTGCCATCGCTGCGTGTTTTTCCTGTAGTACGGAAATCGATCGGTTATAAACTTGTAGATTTCACTTAACGGCAACATCTTTTCGGGGGAGTTCCATATCGCCATAGCTGTGAGGGAGATGTAGGAATAGGGCGGCTTCTGGTCGCCGTAAGACTCCCTGGAGGGCCTAGGCATCTTCTTCCTTGCACTCAATCACAGCTGGATGCCACTAACTTGGGGTCTGCCAGAAGACTGTCGATTGTTGCTGGGGCTGGGTCCCAGCCTGTTAAGCAGCACCGTTCCGGATTGGTCGAGAGGAAACAATGGCAAATCGCTGAACCGCCCAGGCTATACCGTCCGCCCTACTATTGGATGGCGACGGGGCGGCCAATCAGAGCGCGCAGATATATCAGGCTGTTTGACTAGCACTGTGTATGGCTGGTGTGGTTAAAGGAAATTTATGTTAGGGTTTTGAAAAGGCTGGGTAAACACCGACAGAGTCATCATGGTTTATTGAATGCACTTTACGGTCCCATGACCGAGCTTATAAACTCGTTTACCAAAATTTAAATTACAGGTTCGGGTTGCGTGATTAATTATTCTTTCCGGCACTAAGAAGGGATGCGGTGCCTTATTATTCTCATGGAATACAACGACTGCCCATGAACTACAAGAATATTAACCATATTCGCATTAGGGAACAATTCAGATCTGTGGACGGATTGATCAAATTAATGAACACTAAGCCCTGCAGCGCTGTCATTTTCTGACGTATTCATATAGTTGATAATCTATGAAGTGCTTTATTCATCTACAAGCACACATAAATACCTACTATACAGGGTGGACCAGAGAGACGTACGAATTTCGAAACCGCACTGCTCGTCACAGGCCCGAGGAAGCGGGACACGGGTAGTGGGGATAAGTAGCTTGGTGCAGCGGAACTTAGTCGCCTCAGAGCGTTTCACCGGTGAGCAGTGTGCGTTTTGTGTTAAGGCTTATTACAAAAATGGAGATGCATGCATTATTTTACATGATCTAAATCAACGTCCTAGTGAAAATGTGATCAGGTCATGGGGCAGAAAGTTTGAGCCTATCGGTTCGACACTGAATCAGAAACCTGCGGTCCAGCGTCGATACGAACAGAGGAAACGAAGTTTCGACGTCAGTACGGTATTGGGTCGCAGAAAATCTCAAATTAAAACATCAACGACCTTTACAGGCATAAAATTAGAAATTAAATCTCAAATTCTCTTATTCTGTCAACGCTGTTTTAAAACCCAGCGTCGTCAATGGCAGTTTATACAGGTTTTGACAAGTCACAACATGAAATCCTGGCGCACCCCCGCCGTGCTCCGTTTAACATTCATCACTAACACAATTGGGATGAGCATCTGTGATATTCATTTCCACAAACATGCGAAAAATTTGACGTTTCAGTGTACCTACATGTTTTGTTGAGAAATCTGATTGAGTGTGTCAAATTATTGTGTCTCACTGTTAAAAGGTATGTTTGTGTATTTACAAACTTCACTTACCATTTTAATTTAATGTACTAAATTGTTAATTGGGTGGAGACGCGTTCATAGATCGGCCATTTGGACCTTTTTACCACATCACAATCAAACCAACGTGGCGAAATCATTTAGAAACGACGAACTATAAGTACCTAATATTGATTACAAATGTATTTAAAATTACTATTATAACCTCAACCAGCCTACAAAAATATAAATCTCCCGGTGGCCAATATACTGTTGAATACATTACGTTATTAAGACAAAATAATGGACATCACTGGACAATAAATTTTAGTTTTTTAATAAAAGTGCACTTCTTTGTTAATTTTGGGGCGCTGAATCCAAAAATGACAATGAAATAAAAAAATTAGTTGCGGTTTAGAAAAAAAAACTTTTTATTTATAAGGATATATTAAAAAAAGTAACATGATTCATATACTTATAAGAATCACTATATGCGCTGTGTTTTTGCTGTTCTTTTATGGATCGTTTCTGGAGCATCTCTACCAAGAGTCCAACAGTAGTCTGCAAGCATAGAAGGATTCCACTTTCCCTGGTACCTTTTTTCCATTGTTGAAATATCCTGATGAAAACGTTCGCCGTGCTCATCACTTACGGCTCCGCAATTGTCAGGAAAAAAGTCCAGGTGTGAGTGTAGGAAATGTATCTTAAGAGACATATTACAGCCCATCTTTTGATACGATGACAGCATATTTTTAACAAGGGTTTTATAGTTGTCAGCTTTTCTATTTACCAAGAAATTAGTGACCACCAGACGGAAATCATTCCAAGCAGTTTTTTCAATACCTGTTAAAGTGTTTTCAAACTGTGTATCTTTCAAAATATTTCGAATCTGTGGCCCAACAAAAATACCTTCTTTAACCTTTGCCTCACTTAGTTTTGGAAATTTCTGACGCAGGTATTGAAAAGCTGACCCATCTCTATCTAATGCCTTGACAAAGTTTTTCATTAGGCCCAACTTGATATGCAGCGGTGATAATACCTAAATTCTTTTTCGAATCTACTAATGGCATATGCTGTACATTTTTTTGACCTGGCTCTAGGAATTGACGAACAGGCCAGTTTGGTATAGTGTAATGAAGTGCCTTTGCCCGACTGTCCCATTCACACAAAAAACAGCAAAACTTTGTGTAGCCTAGCTGCAGCCCAAGTGAAAGTGTAACAACTTTCAAATCGCGACAAATATGGCATTGGTGCTCATCGTATTTTATGCATGTCAATAGGTACTTCATATTGTCCTATGATTCTTTCATGTGAACTGCATACCCTACAGGAAGAGATGGTAAAATATTTCCAATATGCAATAACACTGCCTTTAAACTCAATGTTGAACTGTCTATAAACAATCTCCATTCTTCTGGGTTATAGTTTATATTTAAAGCCGCCAGTAAGCCGTTAACGTTACTGCAGAAAACCAAGTTATTCTCCATATTGAAAAATGGTTCTAAGTCTTTGTTCCACTGCTGCAGTCTTGATCCAAGTAACTCTGCCTTACATTTTGGAAGTTCTAAATCTCTTACAAGATCATTTAATTCTGACTGTGTTATTTTGTGCGGTTGGTGGCATGACGTGCTCGGTATAAAATCAGGATCTCTTGACGTTGATGGCATATCTTCTTCCTTGACGAATCACTCGATCGCCATGATCTGATTCGTTTTCTGATTCGCAAGTGTAGGATTCTGGGGGTTTTGGAATAGGATTTTCGTCACTGTGAGGCACAGGTCTCATCGCAGATGGTATGTTTGGGTAGTTAATAACCGAGTTTTTTTTTGGACATTCCTGTGCCTTGTCCAACACAAGGTACCATGCAAAAGTAACAATCATTAATATGATTTGTAGGCTCTCTCCAAACCATTGGGACAGCAAAGCGCATAGACCGTTTTTTGCCATTTAACCAGCTCCGCAGACTTGAAGCACATGTATTACAGCAGATGTGGGGTGCCCACTGTTTGTCTTGATCACCTAGTTTACAACCGAAATAAAGCTGATATGCCTTTGTTATTAGTGGAGTAATAGACCGTCTCTGAGACGCAAAAGTAACATCACCAGACACGTAACAAAACTGATCTGGATTGTTTACACACTTTCGAAACATCTTGCATGAACGCTGTCAGCCAACTGAGGAAAAAATGGCTAATATAAAACAATATAATGTACACGTATGTATAACGTAACACAATCATGCCGATTACATCATCTTTCCTTGCCGAATATAAAAATGTGGCACGTGCATTCTTGTGAATTACAGTATATTAACACTGTCACAGCAGGCACACATATAATTACCGTATCTCTAAAACTTGAACTAATATTGAAAAAATAAGTTTCATTCCGGTTTTAGCACATTAAAAATAGTAATATTTTGTTGATTTCATTTAGGATATTTTTTGGCTGTTGATCAGTGATAATTAGTAATTACATGCAGGTATTTTGCTTTTTTATTTATTACTTATTGGTTTTATTGTTATAGGTGCAAAATGGCAGCGAAAAAAAGAAAGTTTTCCGAAGATTACGTTAAGTTTGAATTTACCTTCATATAAAAAGACGAGTTACAATTGCCTCAGTGTGTGACATGTATGAAAGTTTTGAGTAATAATAGCATGAGGCCCAATCGCCTTGAAAGGCATTTGAAGCAACAACATCGTACTCGGGTTTTGAAGACGAAGGAGTTTTTTTCTTCTAAAGCAGAATCACTCAAGCGGATGAGACTGGATAAATCGGGAACTTATCCCACAGGTGTATCGCAGCATCTCAAAGCATCTTTTGAAATAGCTTTTACGATAGCAAAGCAAAAGAAAGCTCATACTATCGGTGAAGAATTAATGAAACCATGTGTCCTAAAAACCTCGCAGATAATTTTAGAAGAAGATGCAGAGCAAAAAGTGAAGTCTATTTCTCTTTCGAATAACACAGTCAAGCGTAGAATCGATGACATTGCAGCAGACATGAAGTCACAAATAATTAACAAAATAGAATTATCGCCATTTTTGCCATTAGTTGCGATGAATCCACCGACAACGTTAATTGTGCACAGTTAATAGTTTATGTTCGTTACATCGACGAATATCATTCAAGAAGAGATTTTGTACTCCCAATCTTTGACAGCAGGTACTACATCTGAAGATAAATTTAATTCAATATCAAATTTTGTTGAAAAAAAATTATTTGGATTGGAAGAAACTCATTGGACTTTGCACAGATGGCGCACCCGCAATGATAGGTGTACGATCGGGCTCAAGGAAAAAAATCCCGCAATGGTTAGTACACATTGTGTGATTGATCAGCAAGCTTTCAAAACATTGCCACAGAAATTACGCCAGACTTTGGACTCGGCTATAAGGATTGTAAACTACATCAAGAGCCGCGCTTTGAACAGTCGGTTATTTACTTTATTTTGTGAGGATCTCGATTGTGATCTCAATGTTCATCTGTTCCGTATAGAAGTACGCTGGCTGTCCAAAGGCAACATGTCGGCTCGCCTTTATGAATTGAAAGAAGTGGTAATTCTTTTGAGTTCAAAGAAAAACACGATTTGTTCACAATGTTCAAAGATGACACATTTCAATGGATCTTGGCTTATTTAACTGATATATTTGACTCCTTGAAACGCATTTGCAAGCGCTGCAAGACGAATTTCGCCGATACTATCGAGACGTCAATTCAGAGTCACCAATATGGCACATGACAAGAAATCCATTT